GCATGCTTACAATACCATAAATTACAATACGTCTTTATCAGGAGGCAGCAAGAAGCAGGCTATTAAACAGTCTCAGCCTTTAACTATTTTTCAACAACATACTGGAACATTTTCATAGAACCATATAAAACTAATGGTAAAATGTGCACAAAGGTATTAGAATTATGCATTTAGATGTGTAGAAAAAGAAAACTCTCAAGCCACATACAATATTAGTCCATATTACACATGCTGTAGAAATTACAATATGTAAATTCAAAAGATCAAAGTATATGCACCACATTTCACAAAGTACTTAGTTTCAAGAATGTGCCTTCTCTTGCACTGAAGAAAAAATGTAAAATCATATGAAAACTGAATTAACCAAAAGCCTAACAGAGTTATGCCTTGAATGTCCCAAATCAACTTGGTAAGAGGGGTCTTTGACTTATCTTTCCATCTTTCCTGATTCTCCTTTTTCAGTTCTGGAAACACACTCCTTATCTCAATTGCCACCTCCTGCTCAATTTGGTACCCAGTATTCACAATAATGATGTCCAATTCCTGACGGGGCTGATGTATGCAGCTAGTTAAATCCTGCATTTTTTTATTTTCCTGCTTTACAGCATTAACTATTTTCTATTTTACACCCAGGGTATACAGGTTTTTTTTTTTAAATGTTTACAAAATCAGCATTATCATTTAAAAAAAGAACACACAGCAAATAAATTATCCAATACAAGCTTCCACAGTCAAGTCCCTTTAAAATGGTAAACCAATAAATAAACAAGCAATCATGTGTAGTTTTAAAATACTGTAATATTTTATACTCTATAGAACAGAATCTATACTCTATAGAACAGGGGTCGGCAACCTTTCAGAAGTGCTGTGCCAAGTCTTCATTTATTCACTCTGATTTAAGGTTTCGCGTGCCAGTAATACATTTTAACGTTTTTAGAAGGTCTCTTTCTATAAATCTATAATATATAACTAAACTATCGTTGTATGTAATGTAAATAAGGTTTTTAAAAAGGTGTTTAAAAAAGGTTTAAGGTGTTTAAGAAGCTTCATTTAAAATTAAATTAAAATGCAGAGCCCCCCGGACCGGTGGCCAGGACCCGGGCAGTGTGAGTGCCACTGAAAATCAGCTCGCGTGCCGCCTTCAGCACGCGTGCCATAGGTTGCCTACCCCTGCTATAGAATATAAAAGTTTATAAAACTATGTATCACTAACAACACAGCTAATCTCATTAAAAATAAAATGGAAGTTTCTAGACCTCAGGGTTACAAAGAAAAGCTTGAAAACATGAACCCTGAAAAGCTCAAAAACAAACAAACAAAAAAACACCACCAGAAAAATCACAAGACAATCGCAAGTTTTTCAAAAGCTCATGATTTTTTGGGAGCAAGGGCTGGCAATACTGCATTAAATACATAGAGAGAGGATTTACCTTAACCAGATAGGTCAGGTCCATTACATATCAATTGGTGTGACATCACCAAAAATTTGAATATTGAATCATCATTGTATTTGTCTACACTGGAAAAATGAGCAATGTTTTAAAATACATTAACAGTTTTTTTAAATGTCAGTTTGCACATAGTGTAGACAAAAGGTATTAGCTAACAGAGGTTAAATCCATACAGAACAGAAGCAGAAAACGCACAGATGGGTTGCCACTCTTACCCATTTTACTTTTGTCACTCAGCACACAGTTCTGATGTTTAACCTTCAAGATGTGTTCTGTATAACACCGACTTTTCTGAAGGTAATCTTCATGTATGACTTTAAAAGCACTGAGAAAAAAACAGCAACTGAGAAAATAAGGCTACAGTATAGAGAACTATGACCACCTGTTTCTCTGAAAGCTAAGTACACAATCTGTATATAGTACTGTTCCATGTCTGCACTAAGAACTTACAGTTCAGACTCACCCCAAAGAAATGCAATAGTGGGCCTGATTCTGCTCTTGCCTATACCAGTTTAAATCCATTAATTACAGTGGAGATATTCCTAATTTACACTGTTGTATGTTGCTGCAGAATATGGCCCAACAGAAGCTTGGAAGTTCATAAAGAAGGATGAAACTTTGCCCTGAAGTCACTCTGTTGTGTCCAAGTATTGCAACCCACCTGGACTCAACATCTGCCTACATAAGGAGTACAGGACTGGCCCCAGGAGTTGCATGCAGTTACCTGAGGAAAAAAATTTGACCTTAAGTATGTGAAGTAGCTTGCTGTTCTAAGAAAATCATAAAGGAGTACACCATCACATTTTAGTATTACAACAAAAAAAGATTCAATCCACTGGGGTGAAAAAATCACCACACCGGCCAGTCTAATTTAACTACACCTCTACCTCGATATAACGCCCTCAGGAGCCAAAAAATCTTACCGCGTTATAGGTGAAACTGCGTTATATTGAACTTGCTTTGATCCACCGGAGTGCGCAGCCCCCCCCCTCCCCCGGAGCACTACTTTACCGCATTATATCCGAATTTGTGTTATATCCGGTCGCGTTATATCGAGGTAGAGGTGTACTTTCAACAGTACACTGTAGTATCAATGGAGGTACACTATTAAAACCTGTACCTTGAACAAACTATTACATAATAAAAATGTGAAACTGTTCCAAAGCACATACGTAACCTAAGGATCCTTACGTTTGTCAGAATATCTAGGGCTTTGCTGAAACTGGAGCATTATGTCTCCAGTTATACTTCATGGCAAAGCTGGAGAGAAGTAAAATCCTAGAAGACCTATTCACACAGCCATTGTAAAATGTGTTACCAGTAGATCTTAAATGCTTCAATAAAATTCTTTTTCATAAAATTTTAAAAATATATTTTGTCACAATGTGACTTAAAAATATGTTGCAGATCTATTTTTTCTCTCTTTTTCAATCTTAAAATCCCATCCTACTTCCTAGCACATCTAAATGAATAAATAGAAAATATATGCATTCCTCATGTCTAAAAATGACTGCACTTTAGCTTGCTATGAAGAATTTTTATTCATTTCACTTCTCCTTTATACATAACTTTAATATTTAATACTTTAGAACTAATGTATTGTCTCAAAAAGTTTGTTTTAATCATATATGTATTTTAGAGCTCTTTGTACGTGAAGTGACAAAATTCTTCTAATACTAGGACACTTTTCAAAATCACCATTTAATATTACAGTATCAAACATTTACTTTTCAGTTTTTCTTTATTTAATATATATATGGTAGTGACCCTCAAAGGTCCCAGTCAGAATTGGGGATCCTATTATTCTAGGTGCTGCATAAACACATCTCCAAAAAGCAGACAGTTTAAGGCCACAATCCTGCCCTGAACCCCAAGCAGGTGGACCTCTCTGTTCATGTGGAGCTCAATGCAGAATTTGATTGCCAGTTATCTTGGGGGGAGAGGGGAAAGGGGGGAATTAACCAAGACGACAAAGAAGAATGGGTGAAATAGAACCACAATCTCTCAAAATGGCACTGTTAGGACTGCGGCACCATCCTGCATTCTATTATGCATGGATAGACCCCCTGCAACTCCATGAAGCCATGCCAACTTCAATGGGGCTTTGTGTGGGAGTAGCCCAAATAGATCAGAATGTAGGCTCTGGATCTAAACTTAGTAATTTGATTAAAATGGTGATTAGAGAATCCTAGTCAAAAGTTTTACGTCCATCTGCATGATGCATACCATTATTATTTCATTATTTTTAAGCAATTTTTCTATGCCACTAGTGTATTTTATGCACTGTAACACAAAATATTCTTAAAATAAATCTTCAACCACACTTATTAATAATGTGGTTAAGTACAAGACTCCCATCACCTGCAAGCAATATTTTACTAAGCAGAGATTTTTAACCATTAAAGAAATACTGTCATTCACCTATTTACATCCAATGTAGCTTTCCAAAGCCATTTTAAAAAAGACCACCACATTTAGCTGAAGCTTTCTGAAAAATAACAACACACAAAACCAATTACTTTACTGCCTTTTTGTCTTTAATGGCTCATAACCTCTTTCACTGGCCTACTGAAATGATTTTTTCCTGTTTAACGAGATGGTGCCACAAGGGCAAGCATACACTAATACTAAAGAACCAATCAAAATAGCTTAAATCATATTCACCATATCAGCTATGACTCCTGTCCATGTACTCTGAGTCTATATTTTTATCTACAAGCATAATCTTACACCTAATTATAGCCTCCCTAGTAAAACAGCTATAGAGGTTGATTTAGTTTTGTAAAATATAATATCAGCATTGCAACCAAATTTTTAGTAGCCTAATATGTACCTTTACTTAAAAACTTGATTGAATATTAGAGGAATTTATGTGCTCCTTGAATATGTATGACTTCTATAATTTGTTATGCTGCCTATATCTATTGGTGTGATATATTCTTCATCAAACACCATTTCATTAGACTCCAGAATAAAGAAATCATACACTTTGCTTTCTCACATAGCAAACAGTTCTTTATTAAAAGTACATCTGAACCATTAGGAAAATAGTAAATGCTACTACACTCTGAATACCACAATAACATTGCTGAAGAACTCATAGAAGGATATAGATATAATCTGTCGAGTGAGTGTATAAGACAAAGACATTATGTGCAATCAGAAAAATAGTGATTCAAATGTTAATATGCATGTTTATACAAATTGCAATTTATAGAACAAATGCATATAAACCCTTAACCTATTATTATAATAAGCCATGATACATATAAAATGACATATTTATGATACAGCTTCTTACTGATATGAGCTCACTCTGGCATCAGAAAACAACTTGTACTTATGGGCAGAAATAAATAAATCAAAATATTTTTCAGTGATGAGGCTCTGTGAATGTATTTTTTATCTTTTTATGATCAGTAATTTACATCTTGATATAGTTGCACTTAAAAATAGTAAAGAGGGGAAGAGTTTAGAGATACATTTACTTACGTTCTCACATAGAAATCTGTATATTAAAGCCATCATGATTTATCCATTACTTCTTACCTCATATGACCAAACACACTGGGTTCCACCAAATCGGCGGACGCATCTTCCCACTTCCACATCCTCATGTGTGGTGTACATTTCTCGAAGACATTCACCTATATGTGGCACCATTCTCCTGAGAACTTCTCGACTGAAGATCATTCCTGGCCCTCCCATGCAGAAATTTTCTCCAGGCTCAAGCCCCAGTTTTCCAAGTTCTTCAATATTTCCCAGACCAGTTTGCCCCAAATAGAGAGGTTTACTGCTGTTCAGTGACCTAAGGAACTCCTCCAATTTTTCACCTAGGAAGAGAAAAGGTGAGCATTATCTCTTCAGCTCTTCTAACAGTCATCTAGTTTTCTGCATCTCAACCATTCTTTAAACGTAACAAGCTCCTTTTTCATAATTTTCTATAATAATCTAATGTAGTTTTCTGTGTTTCAATGCACACTTAAAAAGAAAAAAGTCACACCCAACCAATCTTTCTATTCTGACATAAGTTTTAAGGCATTTTACATCAGCAAAAGCATTAGTGTAGACACATTTATACTAGCAAAAAAATACTTTTGCTGGTATAGTTCCTTTCATTTGGACAACTGCTACAAGCTATATGGGGAAAAAACATTATTTTGCCAATATAAAATGTGTCTTACATTAGGATGGTTTGCCAGTATAGCTGTACTGGAACACCATTTCCAGTGTAAGTTATCTACCAAAATAAGAAGGAGAAGCACATAAAAGTCATAATTAGACCTGACATCCTAGTAAACTTACATGGACAAAATCTGCATTGATATATTACCCCAAATGGAGAAAAACATGGCATAAATAAATATAACAGGATTAATTAAAAAAATACAACTGATGTAATTAATTTAAACCTGTTTTTTGTCAAATATTTTTTCATATTCCCCCAAAGTCTATACCTGAGTTCAGTCACTTGTCCAGATGTTTCCAATGATGCAAAGCAGTGCAGCAAAAGATAACTTGATATCAATTTCTCCTTTTGAGAACATTTTCTTAAAGTTTCAATTTGGTGTATAAATTTAGCCTTGCAGCAATTTACAAAAATTGGTGGCTTCCAAGTTACAGATGAGTACAAAAGAAGAGTGGCAGTTTTTCTTTCTGTACTACACCTCTACCTCGATATAACGCTGTCCTCGGGAACCAAAAAATCTTACCGAGTTATAGGTGAAACCGCATTATATCGAACTTGCTTTGATCCATCGGAGTGCCCAGCCCCGCCCCCCCCCCCTCCGAGCACTGCTTTGCCGCGTTATATCCGAATTCGTGTTATATCGGGTCGCATTATATCGAGGTAGAGGTGTACTTCTATACTGTAAAATGTATACATCTACACATGTGAATATATAATTATGAAATGTAGCAAGCAACTTAGTCCATAAAGTCATTTAAAAAACTAAAGTGACAAAATTAAATAGGTAAAAAATCATCTCCTTCATTAGCAAAATTGCTACATTCCATAACATCTTTAATAGGCACTGCAAATTGAGCCCTCATGCTCATAAAATACATAATCCATTGATGGTGAGAAATTTTTGCTTATCAGAACACAAGCATTTTTCCTTAAGCAGCAGCAAACATTGCAAGGCAGCATGTATCAGAAGGCCATTTTCCAATGGTACTAAAAACTTGAATAGAAAGCATGCTGCAAAAGCTTTTCAGAGATACACTGCAAGGCATGACAATGGCCTGACAAGGAATCTTTGCAACATCAATGGGCAAAAATAATAAAGAAAAATCCTGGATTCAAAGGATGCATGGAACAACAAAAAGGAATTATTTTATCAAAAATATCCATATCTTAAAAATGCAGCAAAAGATACAATTTTAATGTATTTCATTTAAAAAAAATTAAGTCTTCTGAAAATTACTTTTACCAGATCTAAATTCAATACTTAACTCATACTGCTGTGCCCAAGTAGTATGGGTGTCTGACGTGTAATACTACCCGCATTGAGAGCTGCAATAGTTGTATACAGAGGAGTAAGATGAGGACGGACTGCCACCCTTAGGCTGCATAGCTGAGCTATGTGGGAAGCTTTAAACGCACAACAGTGAAAGCATAACTGAATTCCCACCAGTTTGGGCTTAATCTCTTCCCTAAAGTTCATCTTAAATTCTGCAACTGGTGAAACCTGGCAGATTTCTTTCCTTTGACCAAAGTAAGTGCCCAGACTGTAGTAAGGGATCCTCTTTAAGTCAGCCAACCTAGAGGCACATCATTAAAATAATAAATATTTGCTTCAAACAGTGAGGCATAAATTCCAGCACATCATCTTCACCGCCCTTAAGGCATTCAAGAATATTGATTTTTCACCGAAAAAGTCTTGGTTCCTGAATATTAATATCACTAAAAGCTTAGCGTCCCACCAACTGCCTTCACTATGCAACTTGATTACAGTTCCAACTACTGTGCCTTGTATAACATCACTTGGAAGCCACCCCAGTACACGCACATGGAATTGAGAAGAGAGGAAAACCCCGCAGCACCTCGGAGAACAGACATACATCAATGTTTCTCTGGATTCGAACCAATACACCCTTTGGAAGTATTTTAAGGGAAGTGGAACACTTTTAAAAGCCTCAGAGATTGGACATTTCATCCTCATTTATTACAAAAAGACAGATGTCTGCTCCCCGCTACTCAGTGGCGGAAGCAACTGACAATATTAGCAAGCAAGTATGTTAGTACTAAAAAGTATCCTCATTCCTTAACTGTAAATCTCCTGGGATAACAATGCATTAGCATATCTCAGATCTGAGGATTACTACTGACTTCTATGAGTAGTGAACAGCAAGTTACAAGCATCTTGAAGGAATCAGTATTTAAAGATAATACTTAAGTTCATACACAATATTACAGTCTGCTGCAAATAAAAGTAATTGCCTTCAGTTGCTATTGTCCCGGTTTTCGGGGCGAAAGGGGAAGAGAAAAAACAACATTAATCCCTCAAATAACCACTAACTCTGAACTACGCCTGGGATAACATCGAAGAGATCCTTTAAAAGATTATTTAGGGTTCCAGGCGAAAACCCTGCATTATACATTCATTTCTCAAGCCTGGGCGAAAGCGAGAGCGGAGACTCATCTCCTACATACCCACAAAACTGAATTCCCTCGGACACCTGTACTGGCAATTCTGTTTCCAGCTATAAATCCCTGCCGAAGCGTTGGGACTAACAGACAAAAAAATAGAGATTTAGCTTTTAGCCATCTCTGACAGGGATCAGCAAAGCACTGGCTACGTTTTTCAAAACTACCCAGAGACAGAGACACACACACACACACACACACACACACAGGTGGTGTGTGTTTGTCAGGCCAGTGGGGACGCACTGAAGAACAGAGGAGTCAGCTCTCACTCTTTTGCGGGGATTAGCACAGAATGAAGGACGCTCACCTATTGGGTTAGTTTTAAGGGAGTTTTTAAAAGGCTTGAGTGGTTATTTATGTGGGTTTCAATAAGATAGTTAAAGTTTCGCCCATTTATGGGACTCTCCCTTATACAGATGGTCCCAGTTTGGCAGCTCTGGAAAGTGGGGGGAGAAAAGGGGATAGAAACGGGTTTTAGTTATTGCTTTTGACGATTCACGTGGCTTGTCATTCATTGCCCCTGATGGGAATCTCCCCCCACGTCAAGCCGGTCCCGGTTTGGCAGCTCTGGGAAGTGCCCCGGGAGGGGTTGAGCATTTGGGGACGTGTGTTGGGTGCCCAGCATCACCTTTGATGTAGACATCGTCATCCGCCCGCATGAACCACTCGTACTTGTCCAGGTAGTGGTCGTGCATATACTTGATCATCATGAAGGATTTCTTCTGGGGCGGGTAGGAATCGTCCACCCCGGGCAGGGCGACGACTGGCAGCGGCGGCAGCCCGGGCCCAGCGAGCGGGGCGGTGGAGCCCTGGCTGGAGAAGAACTCCACCCTGCCGGGGATGAAGCGCGCCCAGGTCCGCTGCGCCGCCACCGCCCGGCTGCCCAGGTACTTCTGGGCCGTCATCACCCCCACGTAGAGGAAGTTGCGGGGCTTCGCACAGCCCGCGGGACCCCCCCAGTCCCCGCTCCCATTGTGGTTGCTCCCGTGCCTGCCGCTCCGCTTCTCCCCGGCTTCCTCCTCCTCCTCCGGCTCCCCTTCCCCGCCGGCCGCGGCTGGGGGGCTGGGGACGGTGCCCTCCTCCGCCTGCGGCTGCAGCTCCCAAGGGCTGCTCCTGAAGCCGGTGCCCCCCAGCACGGCCGCCGCCGCCTCCTGCTGCGCCCGGGCGCCCCCCGCCGCGCGGCCGTAGTAGGAGCAAAGGCTGGAGGCGCGTCTCTTCCTCTCGCTCATCTCGGCCACTTTGGGGGCGATGAGCCAGGAGGCGGCGGTGAAGCCCAGCACCAGCCCCAGCACCACGCTCAGCCAGGGTCTGCGGGACCGCGCTGCCATGGTGCGGCCAGGCGGAGAGAGAGGGAGGGTCCCGCACACGAGCTGCGGGGCGAGGAGGCTGCTGCTGAGGTCCCTGTGCCGAGTTAGTGCCGGGCTGCCCGGCCCCGGCGCCGCCTCCTGCTCAGACGGCGGCTGCTGGCGTCCGTTGCTCGGAGCGAAACTTCTCCCGGCGGCGGCAGCAGCAGCGAGAAGCCGGGCGGCGGCGGCGGCCCCTCCACTGCTGGCACCTTGTCACCGCCGCGGCTGGTCCCTCCCCGCCCCTCCCACAGCTCAGCCTCCTCCACGCGGCGGCGGCGGCGGCCCCAGCTCGCCGTTCATCCCACTCCCGCGGCGGCCGCCGAGCGCCTCACGCAGGAGGGAGCAGCAGCAGCCGCCGCTGCCTGGACCCCGGGCAGGGCGAGTCCCCGCCGCAGCTGCTTCTCCGGAAGGAAACGATTTTTTTACGGGCCGCCCCCTTTTCCCAGATCTTCCTCCCCGTCCTCCTCCCGCTGCGCCCCCTGCCCGGCCAGGGGCCCCCTCTCCCTCGTCTCCCCCCTCCCATTTCTCCACTCCCTGCCCCTGGCGCCCTGTCCTTGCTCCAACTCCTAACAGGCAGCACCCGTGTCCTTCCTCCCAGCTCCAGCCTGGGCTCGTCAAGGTGCCCTAGCCTAGCCGCACTACCCAGCTGCAACACAGCAGCTACGGGACCGGGGTGGGGTGACGGGGGTCAGGAAAGTCCTAAAGCATCAGGCTGGGCTAGGCTATCAGCCACGCTGTCCCTCCAAGTCCTGGGAGCATCGGGCTGCTTAACACTAGAGAGGGAAATGCCCCCTCCAACAGCAGCTGCTGTCCAATCAAGTCTGTAGGTATTGGGAGCCTGGGGGGGGGGGCGCTTAACACTGCACCCACACATTTACTCATCCCCTCACCGCTATAACCGCGAAAGAGGGGTAAGGAGCTATTGCATCACCAGCAATCACAAGTTTTCTTTAGCTGAAAGAGGTCACAGGACTTTGCAAAAAGAAAGAAAGGCCTGGTTTTCCCCTCAAAAGGATAATTACTAAAGGCAAAGTGGAGATATATTTTGTGAGGGAGGCTGTGGAAACTTCAGTCCTCCACCCCATCTGTTCCTTGGCTTTCAACATTTAATAACTTTCAAGCCAGGAAATGTATTCCTCTCCTCCTCCCTGGCTTGCTTCATAACTTGCTAAATATGTTACTAAGAGCTCCAAAATCTTTAGGTAGCTTCCCCCACTCTGAATTTCTCCAATCATTAAGAAAGATAATTGTTCAGACCTAGGATATGGGAATGTAAAAGCTGGTTTCTTCAAAGGCATAAGGGTTAAAATAATGGACAGGTAACAAACTACTTTCAGTCCACATCTATAAACAGTTTTTAAACTTAACAGTCATCTTGCCATTGATATTTGCCCAAAATATTTACATCCACTAGTAATATCACCATCCTTCAACTAATAATACCTTCATCAACGCTACACAACAACACAAGCACTGAAATTAAGTTTCTAGCACCCAATTATCTAGCACCCAAATATCATTGCACTGAAATAATTCTAGAAGCTCCAGTAGTGCATATGTAATAATTTTTCTATCAAAAGCACCTACTTTTTTGTAGCTCTTAAAATCTGTGGCAGTAAGGTACATTTAATGGCTCTGTTTATTATACATCAGATGTAAAGAAGGCAAGACTAAGGCCAGGTCTACACTAGCGCGGTAGTTCGATGGCCGGCAATCGAACTTCCGGGTTCGATTTATCGCGTCTGGTCTGGACGCGATAAGTCGAACCAGGAAGTGCTCGCCGTCGACTGCGGTACTCCACCTCAGCGAGAGGAGTACCGCGGAGTCGACGGGGGAGCCTGCCTGCCGCGTGTGGACCGCGTCTGAACCGCGGTAAATTCGAACTAAGGTATGTCGACTTCAGCTACGTTATTGACGTAGCTGAAGTTGCGTACCTTAGATCGAATTGGGGTGTTAGTGTAGACCAGGCCTGAGTGACATTGAGGTGGAGAGGAGAGAAGGCTGGTTCAGCCAGATAAAATCAATGGAAGAGTGGGATAAAGAAGATATTTTATAGAATTTTTTTTTCCAAAATGGTAATTCTCTCACATTATTCTCAGCTCCATTTCTGGGTTTGATGAAAATCAGTACAGATATTTTACCTCTTAATTGTAGAAGGTGTAAGCCTTACTCCCAAAGTATACTTTGCAGACGTAATAGAAGAACCCACCCTTCATCGTCATCACCTACAGAGAGGTTACTTCCAAAGTAACTTTTGTTCTCAGACTGTACTGTTTCCACAGAGCTACAGCATAGAAGCTTATCAAGGTTTTTAAGAAGTGACTCTTCTTAGGATCAAGAGATATCCATGGACTCTAACATTCCACCCTTTGTTAGCCATCCCTAAGAACATAAGAACGGCAATACTGGGTCAGACCTAATATCCGGTCTTCTGACAGTGGCCAATTCCAGGTGCCCGTCTGAATGAACAGAACAGGTAATCATCAAGTGATCCTTCCCCTGTCACCCATTCCCAGCTTCTGGCACACAGAGACTAGGGACACCATCCCTGCCAATCCTATCTAATAGCCATTGATTGACCTATTCTCCATGAATTTATCTAGTTCTTTTTTTAATCCTGTTATAGTCTTGGCCTTCACAGCATCCTCTGGCAAAGAGGCCCACAGGTTGACTGTGCGTTGTGTGAAGAAATACCTCCTTTTATTTGTTTTAAACCTGCTGCCTTTTAATTTCATTTGGTGACCCCCTAGTTCTGCTATTATAAAAAGGAGTAAATAACACTTCCTTATTTACTTTCTCACACCAGTCATGATTTTATAGACCTATATCAGATTCCTCCTTCCCCTTAGTCATCTCTTTTCCAACCTGAAAAGTCCCAGTCTTATTAATCTCTCCTCATATGGAAGCTGTTCTATTCCCCTAGTCATTTTTATTGCCCTTCTGTACCTTGTCTATTTCCAATACATTTTTTGAGATATCCCTCAGTTCCTCTCTACCTGCTTGCCATCTTGTTGTAGCCATGTCAGTCCCAGAATATGAGAGAAACAAGGTAGGTAATGTAATATCTTTTACTGGACCCACTTCTACTGGTGAAAGGTGCAAACTTTTGAGCTACACTCTGCTTCCTTCCCCAGTCCTGAAGAGCTATATGTCTCTTGAAAGCTTGTATCTTCCACCAACAGGAAGATCCAATAAAAGATATTACCTCACCTACCTTGTCTTTTCTACCTTGTCTTCTCTTGGTGAGAAATGTGCTATAATGTTAAGATCACTGAAAGGACGAAATATATTTAAAGTTTATCTCTCCACTGAAAAAAAGTGTTTCTAAAAATGGCACAAGAGGTTTGTATGTCTCAAAGCTTTCTGTATTCCCCCTCCACCCCAATTGCCACCCTTGCAAATTTAGCTTGCTGTCTGAGACTTAGGCTAGTTTTTTTCAGTCCTGTGCATCATCAACAGATGTTCGTTTACAGCTATGCAGCCCCTGTGTCTTCAAATTTTGGCCTCAGTGATACCAGTGCACCTGTATTATCTTCAGTGTGGTTGCTCAAGTTTATTAAGTACCACTCAGTTAGTTACACAATTCCATTCATGATACACAAGATGAAATGACCTCTGAGTCACTCAATTTCAGCTATTCTGGCTCTTCAGGTCTAAAAGCAGTGGAAACTTTGTTAATTAAATGTGCAGAAAGATGAATTCTGATTTAAAAGGATATTTTTACATACTTACTTTTAAGAGTGAAACCACACTTTAAGGCAGTGTGTGCTACTAAAAGAATTAGTTAATAAAGAGAACTCTTAAGCAGAAAGAAAAGTGAAGTAAACATTAAGCTAAATATTTAAATGGATTCTGATTATGAATATGCAGATATACATATATTCTGGAAATACAATTCATTACCAAAATTTTGATATACCACATAGGCTTTTTGAGACTTTTTTCCTTGACAGATCAAGGCTCATTTTACTGCATTTGTATGAAGCAACTGTGGCACCTAGTGGTTAATAACCACCATCCTATGAGTTCCCTAAACTGAGAGATGATATATTGTAACCCAAGTTGTATGTCCAATTTAAAAATTAAAAAACCCTTGGGAAATATTTTGTTAAATCATTTATGTTGAAAGTATTAATTTAAACATGATCAGTTCGCTAGTGAATCTGTTACATCTTGTCATGCACCCAGGATTACATACAAGGTGATGTGGGATGCTGGGAATGTGTATCAATGGCATCATTCCCATGCTGGTAAGAAATAAGGAATAGAAGAGGCTAAGACTGGAGGGGTTTCCGATTCAAATATTTGAAGGATGGTCTTGTAATTAAAGCCCAGGATTGGGAGTTAGAAGATCTGTACTCTGTTCCCAGCTGTGCCATAGATTACTACCGTGAAATCTATTGTGGGAGTCACTTATCCATTATTCTCTGGGGGAAAGAGGCATAAAGAAGTTTATACTTCTGTCCCTCTTGGCCATTTTGCAAAACATAATTGGTCATCTGTAAAGCACCTTCAGATCCTCTGATGGAGTAACTACAGAAATACAAGACCTTTTTAAAAATAAAAATAAAAAAAATAATGGTTCTTAACTGAGATACCACCCCTGACAGGAAACAACATGGGATGTGACATTTCCCATTCAAACAAAGCACCAGTAGATAGTTCCCGATTTCTCAGACATCCCTTTCTATCGTTTAGTGCAGTGGCTCTCAAACTTTTTGTACTGGTGACCCCTTTCACATAGCAAGCCTCTGAGTGTGACCCCCCCCTTACAAATTAAAAATACTTTTTTTATATTTAACACCATTATAAATACTGGAGACAAAGTGGGGTTTGGAGTGGAGGTTGACAGCTCGCGACCACCCCATGTAATCACCTCGCGACCCCCTGAGGGATCCGATCCCCAGTTTGAGAACCCCTGGTCTAGTGAAAATGCCAGATATGCTCTACTAACACTTTGCTTTGCATACTCAGTTCCCAAATTAACTGTGGCAATTGTTTTTGTTCCCAACAGCTAGCATCTCTGAGATTGGTAAGGGGTGCCCTAGTGTTCTATAATGTCAGTTATTTTATCAGTAACTTGACAGCATCATCAGCAAGCTACCACCAGGCAAGCAACTCTATCTGCTGGGAGATTTCAGCTCAGAT